TTTATCACCTGACAGAAACTTTATTTTTCAACAAGATGGGGCATCATGTCGTGCGGCCAAAACCAAGAAAAAACAGTGGCAGGATAATAATATTTTCGTCGTTGACTGGCCTGCCAGTAGTGCTGATTTAAATGTTATCGAAACTTTATGGCACAAAATGAAGCAATAGTCAAGAAACGAGCCACACTCAAACATATTTGATTTACAACTAAAATTACAAAATATAGTTATTGAAATCGTCCGTCCAAACACTTACGTGTCAGCCAAATATTGTTGTTATCAATATCGGTTTAGTTTTATAGTTTAATATCATATTACTTGATAATAATTTAGTTAATATGATGTACAAACAATATATTTCAATGTCTTATAAAAGAAAAAAATATTTTGTAGTTAAAAAAATAAACAAACTTCAATATAATGTCCGAACTATTTTGTATTAGGGCTCGTAGAACGAAGTGTTAATAATGTTTTTGTTCCATTCATCTGGAAGATAAATGACAAATAACTGCTGTATTAATTATGGTGATCTTCCATAGACCACCCAACTTACATCTTGTCTGTCATACAGAACGCTTATTATCAAACAGAGGGAAGCCATTCTAAGTCGAAATGTTGTTCACAATCCTGCAAATTGAATGGTATCCAGTTTTGACCACATATCGCCGTCGTCGAAGTGCATGATTCTAACAAGACGGTAAATAACAGACAGAAATTCACAAATAAAATAGTGGAACGCTTTATTCGAATCTTTTCTCGTCCATAACTTTTTTTCCTCAAAAATGTCTTGCTGTAATAGCTTTACTGTATATGATAGGAATAAGCACGCAGTGTAATTTTTCGGGTGTAGTAGAAGTCCCGATTTCACTACTTACTGGCGGGAATCAAAATTTGCACCCTTGGCATAAATTGGACCAATTAGAAGGCGTTCTTGAAGTGATGGATCTCACTGAACTTGAACTAGAGAAAAATAATATGATATGGTCTTCTAATTCTAATAATAAATCAAGAAATACTCCATATATCACATAATTCCCGAGACGCAAATTCCGTCAATCAAAAACAAGGGCTTGTGGTCTACTCGAAACATGGATCAAATCTGATGTAATAGATTGACATGAGGTCATTACTAAGCAATTTATTAAAAAAATTCAATGTCTCACTGTTGCTGTACAAAATTTTGCATGACTATTTTTTGAAGAAATAAATAAAATTACGGAATGCTTATTCTTTAGCAAACATCGAGCAAATAATCAATTTACTTGTCTACCATAGGAAATCCCTGTTCCTCAAGCCAGCCTTGTTAGCGTTAAGAGAGCGATGTGGCGTGCTCTTCTGGAAGGTAGGACAGGTACGCGACCACGCCACGCCTCAGTGACGGTAACAAGGCTAGAAGTCACCCTGCAACCCAATAAAGGGCGCGAGAGCTCCCTGTTAACAGTGCTGGAACATGAATTTTTCGCACGGTAGTCAAGTAAGTTGGATTCTTACTTGATGTTTGTGAGATAATAAGCATTCTGTAATGTTAGTTATGTCCTCAAAGGATTTATCAAGCAGAACTGCAACAGTGAGAATCTGTCGTTTGGAAATAAAATGCACATTTAAATGCTTGTGACATCAATCTAGAGATTGCTTCTTTTTCATTGGTGCATTTTATGATCATGGCACATGAAAAAATAGGCTTTTCTAGCGAAACCAAGTGATTTATGCCGTATCTCTTCATTTAATATGGAAATTACTCAAACATAGGTATTCCCTAGCTTGAGGAACATTATACAAGAAATCGATCACTGTTCAATAGATCCGTTACCTCAAATACGTCTTCTCATTGGTTGGATTAATGAGCTACTCGCTAATTGCTTAATAGAATCGGGCCTAAAAACAACATATTTGTCAATACTCACAGAAATGAAATTGGTTCTTTCAAAATATGAGTTTCTTACAGTCCAGCGGACAGCAGACCAGATAAGTTCATTGCACATCTAGGCAACATCACATCATTGATAATTTGTTTGGACGACAGTTTTTGATAATCAGAACATTCTGGTTGGCACGGACTGGATAGCCTAAGATCTGAATCGCACGAGGTTTGGATGCAAATGGGAAACTCATTGTTTTAAATTCAGTTTTTATTTTTTCATCAAAAGGAATCTACTTGAAGTCACAGCTGTGTGAGGAATTTACTTGTTCACAGATATACTGTAAGCAAAATTTCGATAATGAAATTTGGTTTTTGTGTTCCGGTTTCACCACACCTTTTAATTTTCTTATAATTTTCGTTCCGAAAAGAAATTCATGGCCAACTAAAGATATACATCACTGAACTTAGGACTGAAATCTTTATATAAATTAGAAAATTCCATATGTAAAAACAACGTTGGTGCTGGAAATCGAAGGAAGAAACCTCAAATTGAAAATTTGACTACGAAATCTTGTAGAAGAGAAAAAGTGCCAATGACAAAGTTTATTTTGAAATCCCATCTCAAATAAAGTCTCGAACAATAAAAATGATTTTGCAATAAATCTAGTATACGACAAAAAGGACTGTCTTATAATTTCAAAGCCTATCTAGGAAATTCTGATTATTTTTAAATAACTAAGGCTTTGGCAATGTCCATGTATGACATATTATACAGTTTTGGAATCAGGAATAAAAACTCATCTGAGCAAAAATCCAATATGATGCACATCAGAAAAAAATAAGTTGATGCTACAGAAACGTCATTTTGAAATTCTTATTATGCGATCTTGTAGAGTAGAAAAAGTATCATTGTTAGTGTGCAATTTATTTTGGAATCTCACTACAAATAAAGTCGGAAAAAAGTCTAATTTTGGCAAATTCGGCTTTTTTTGTCGCTCTCCGGAGGAATTTGAATTCCAAAACTTTCTAAGCGGCATTTTTTAGTCACCTAAATTCGCAACTTTGTCCCCGTTACGATGTGTAATTGACAGTTCCCAAATTTCAAATCGAATATGCATAAAATGCCATACCATTCAATTTAAGCGAGTGCGCACTATACAGGAAGATTCAAAAGTCAATGGCAATGCTTTTCAGACAGAGAGTATGCCCATAATTCCACAAAGGGTTCATATAAATATAGGCTCTAAAATGCCTCTGTCGCGCTATCGAAATGGCTTCAAGTACAATGATCAAGCAATGCAATTTTATCTAAACATACTGGCATCAAGTCACCTAGTACATTAATGGTCTATTTGGCAGATTGTAGCAATGAGCTTGAATGTACATAGTAGCCTTATTTCTTTGGAACTGGCATGTAAAACTGTTTGTCATCAATGTTTGATAACTGATTATAAAAGATATTGGTATGTACTTTGAACTCGGATAGGACCATTAATACACTAGTCGAACTATTAAATTTATAGAAAAAGCTTCCCCAGACTACAGCGATGGCTATTTCACGGTTTTTATTTTTGACTGTTAGTATTATATTGCCCCAGAAATTGAGTATGTAACTTCATTAAATTTACCTCCAGGCATAACTCTCGTGATACATATACTATATAGCATAAAAAACTTAATATCTTAGTTTCGATTTTTTTTTAAATTACAGGATCTCCTCGAATATGGCGTAAGAAGTTGAAGTTATATATTTGGAGTGTTGATTTGAAAACTTCTTACCGAGGATTTATCGAAAACCACTGATTAAAAGCAAAAACGCCGAGACACGTCAAGATTTGTCAGGGGGTCAACTTTTTAACCAAAAACTACTTCACCCTCGCCCTCCCCAGGGTCATTCCCTTGAATATTTTAAATGACAAGAGGTATCAAGTAATAGCTTGTTTGTGTCATACATTCACATTGCCAAACCTTAGTTATTCTAGAAAAACCGAAGTTCCTAGGTAGGCATTGAAATTATCAGATATCATTTGCTTATCTCTGCTTATTGATGATTATTATTGATATTACCATCAATAACATTTTCATTTTGTGTTCAGGTTTTACCATACCACTTATTTCCTTACAATTTTCATCAAACAATGAGTTAATAGCCAACTAAGTAGATACATCACTGAAAAGTCCATTTAAATTTACCTAATTTCAATATAGCGTCCATATGAAAAAACAAAGTTGGTGATGGAAGTCGAACGAAGAAATGTCGAATTGAAAATTTGACTACGCCATCTTGTAGAGGAGAATAAGTAACAATGACCACATGCAATTTATTTTAAAATCCCATTTCGAATGAAGTCAGAAAAATACAAAAGTTGTTTTGGGATAAATCTGGTATGCGAAACAAAAGACTATCTGATAATTTCAGGACATACCTGGGAAATTCTACTTTTTTTTAAATAACTGAGGTTTTCCATTGTCAATGTATGACGTATTATACGTTTTTAAAATCAGAATTAAGAACTCTATTCGTCTGTGCAAATATCCAATATGGCATCCACAACAAAAAATAAATTTAATGCTTGATAGCAAGAGATGAGACGATATTGAAGTTCTAATTATGCCATCTTGTAGAGGAGAAAAAGTAGCAATGTTAGTGTGCAATTCATTTTAAAATCCCACTTCTAAGCGGCATTTTATAATTTACCTAAAAACGCACCTTTGCTCCTATTTAAGCGACTTCGTGTCTTTTGCAGTTTCCGAGATCCCAGTGCTGAGGGTCAAACTTAAGGCTCCATGTATATGTACATACATTTTTACGGCTTTCGCTAATATTACATTTTACATAAAGTGTCTCTCGCCAGAAATGTTTGGCACCATTAATTTCAAATAAACGTTATTTGAATACTTGAGGTTCAATACGTATAAAAACCTTAAATTCATTCTATTTTGAAACAAAGATTAGTAAGGATTGGCATTAAAAATTCTATGCAGCATGATATATTCCATGATCCCCCCTTTCCCGCAATGTTATTTGAAGAATGGGTGATCATTGGCAAGAGATGACTTTTTGTGAAAGTCATCTCAAGTGTACCTGCCTCCAAAACTTTTTGAAAAGCGTTGGGCAGGAAAATTTCACAAAAATCATGCTAAGTATATAAATTTCAAGGTCCAATCGGACTCCCAGTAACTTTCTATGCTATTTTTGGACAAACTTTCTGCTGTAGGAGAATAGCCATTATTTTTGAATAGCGCTCAATAATTCAAATTTAAGTGAACTAATAATATACACATTTTATTCATATCACGCTAGACCCATGTTTCATCCCATCCATAGCAATAACCACCTCTGACCCCTTATTGACGGCGAAGGTCTCAACCATACTCCTAGATGTCCTGAGCACCCTCACCGAGTCCGATGACACAAGTCTAGCACAATCTGAAACCACACCGGAGCTCTCTGGCCTGGCAATAGGAACCAGTAAGAATTCCCCTGGGGTCTTCCAGTCCCCTAAGCTTCTGATCAATGAGCCGCCTCCGTGTTGCACGTGATCGATGAATGAGCCAGCGTCTCCAACTGTGGCTGCAGCGCTTGGTGCTACTGCAGGGGATGAATTCGCTTGGCTGCGGTATGTGAAGCCCAAGGCTGTCAGAAGGTCATCGACAACCTGTAACAAACGTACCTGTTGATTGTAGATGCTCCGAGTTTGTTCGATCATACAATTGATGTGACATTTGTAGCACACCTTAGATAATAATCAGCAATTAAACTCTCCTGACAGTACCAAAGACCGTCGTCATTTCAGCGGAGAAAGTGGCATGTAAATTCTCAGTAGAAGGATAAAATAGATTTTAGTCTTCCGCGTTCAGCAGTCCTAGTTGGTGTTAGCGCTCACTATGTCCACGGCCACAGATATTCTTTGCTACCAAAATAATATTAAGTTATTATCTAGTGTAGTTTGTGTCAACAAATAAAGGGGAGTCTGTATTTCTTATATAGATATTTAAAATATCGGAACTATCGTCCAGTTACACATTAAAAACTCGCCCAGTATGTAGAAACATCCTAGTTCAAAAGTCGTTGTCAGAAGTGTCAGGTTTTTTTGGCAGGGGAAAGCCACTCTCAGGAAGAAAAGCTCGACATAATTGATCTGCCGGCTCTTCCTGACCGAAGTGGCATACTCACTAAAGCCTCTCAGTCGTTCGCCACACATCACAACACTGTAATGCTTGCAGCATTTCTTCATAGTGGGTAGCGTTGCGCTAGGTTTTCATACCGAAGATATTAGTCATCTATTCTCTATCTTACACATACTATGTACATATACAACCGAGCGAAATAGAAACTTACTATTGGTTTCTTGATCTACTTTTGTTCACCCGTACCTTACTCAACATCATTTGCCTCATTGCTGCTTGAATATCCACCCATTTTACCTCGCGTATATGCGTGACAAAATTGTCAGCAGTGAGCCACTCGCCGAGAATCGGTTCCATCTGTGTTTGCTAGTCAACCCACCAACCACATTGGAGCAGGTGATTAGCAGTATACCTCTCTTCATTGCATTATACACAATTTGCGAACTCTGTCTTTCCTACCCGCATCAAGCAGCTGTCAAAGCAACCATGTCCTGTCCAGTATAGCAATCTATCCGCACCACTCCCTTGTCAATCCAAGTTTTAGTATCTGGTCCATGCACTATGGCCAGTTGGATCCCATCTCTCCTACCAACTGACAAAAAGCGCGTCTCTTTTGTCGCTTGTAAATCAATCAAAGCAATTGGTGGCATACCAGTTACCACCAGCAGTGCATCGATCGACACGGTTCTGCAAGCACATACCGCGCACAGCACTGCATGTCGCTGGCTTCTTGATATTAGATGTCTATATTTGTTTTTCCTCAAGGCCTTGTTATACTAATATATAGGAGCTCCGTACAGCATAATCGAGTTTACCACCCCTGATAAAATGTTGCGCCTCTCACTACTGGGTCAGATGGCATTAGCCGTATAAGAGATGCAACGACCTTATTTACCTTGTCAATGGTAAGCCCCATATGTTCAATCAATGTCAGATCTTTGTCAAACCACACACCCAGATTAAGATTAATATTAATTGCATGCAGAAAGTATAACAACTTCCGTCTTCTGATGAGCTAATTTCTAGCCATTTTCTTCCATCCGTATGGCAATTCTCGTGATTCTGTACGCCAAGAGTCCTTCAAATCTTTCTATCTCCTTGATAGTCACTTTATCACAATGTCATCAGGATACCTCAGCAAGCGAATTCCCGGCAGCATCTGTAACCGATGAACCCCATCGTAGGCACGTTCCAAGGCAACGGCCCTAGGACGGCCCCTTGTGACATTCCCATGGTTACTCTCGTCTTTTACCCTACCATATGTGGCCTCTCGTCAAAATAGCTCTTTATCATGTTCATTGGATAGCTAGTAACATCTAGCTTCTCGAGAGATTCGACAATTTTCTGCCATCGTGCTGAATTAAAGGCATTTTCAACGTCAAAAGCAACCATAACGCAAAACCTCTTACTATTGTAGTTGCCATTATCCGCTGCTTTCACAAGCTGGTGCCACTGCACTAACTGCATCCCTGGTAGATTTTCCCTTTCTAAAACCATATTGGGAGGAAGACAACCCGTTTTTTCCTATGAGTATTTTCTTAAACTACCTTCTATCAGTACTTCTAGTAGCTTGCCAAGTGAACTCAGCATATACAGAGGTCTTTTTGACTTCCCTATCGGTGGGTTTCGGAGGCTTAGGGATGAGTACCAAACCAGCCTCTTTCCACCGTTTCGGAAAGACTCCCGTTCCCAAGCATTCATTCATCACAGACATCACGATCTCAGGTATCTGTTTAAACGTCGCTTTCACGATCTCGTTTGGTATTTTATCTAGTCCTGGTGCCTTACTTGTTTTCAAGTATGTTGCAGCTTCTTCTAGCTCACTCATGGTGAACACTGGTACGTCCAGCGATTCCTCAAAATTCCATTCGGTGCGTAAGTACTTCGGAAACAATCCCTCCCAGTTCCTATTTGCTGCTCAGTATCTAGGTACTGTGACTTTTAGCTTTTTCATAGCTATATTGTATGCTTGAGCTAAACATCGTTTTCTGAGTCGTTTAGTAGTTCTTTCCACAACCCCTGTTTAGAGTTCGTTATCAGATTTTCTAGTTTTTTTGGCATATTGATGCTGCTTTTTATACTCAAGCATGACAACGGTACTTTCTATTTTCTTTTGTTATTCTACGTTTGATAGTTAGGCATTCTGATCGTTTTTGAGCTGTTTCGTCCAGCTTTGTGTTCCATAGGGCTAACTGCAGATTCCCGGGCAAAGCTTTGAATTTGCCTTCCACCTGCGGATCATATGTTTCTCTGCTCTTTCATGTTTGATAGATGTTATTGCAAACATAATATATTTATGGTCGCTGACATTTTCATCAACGAGTACTTTCCAGTTTTTGATTTTACCAATCCGGTTCTCACTATAGAAAGTAATGTCTATATAGGATGTTTGGCTTCCTCTGACAAAGGTTGGCTCGCCACTATTGTTTGCTATGATGCTTACTGCGAGAATGTCTTCAAGGGGCTCTCTTCCTTTGTCAGTTATCCGAGATCCCAAAGTTGTCGACTTCAAATTGAAATCTTCCCCATCAAGTATTCCTTATACCCTGGTCCATAAGAGTTTCTAATTAATTTAGTTTTTCTGAGTGAGCTTCAATTTTTATTTATAAGAATTATATACATACAGAGCACAGCTCTGTTTTTTCGATGTCTATCTAAATCATCCCTTTTGCATGCGTGCATAGATGTTTCAGCTGTTTGGCAGATTTTCATGAACCTCCTTCTATTATTTTTTTATTCGGCTCCGACACCAGACCAACGTCAATTGAATTTTCTTTTGCGACCTGATCCAACAAATCGTACGCCGCTTTGTACCTTTTTAAGTTTGCTTTTATTACCTTTATTGTGGTGTTGTGGGAGTTGCTTCTATCGGTTCGCCTGTTTTTTCTGTTTCTGACAACCTGAAATCCCTCATACTCAGTGTTATCAACTTGAGGTGGATATAAAGCAGGCTCATCAGTTTTATTTCTAATTGTTACAGGTGTAGCCTGCTTTGTCACAGCTGTGTTAGCTACTTGTTTTTTAGTAGTGAAACAAAGCTATTTCACTACATCCCTGTATGTCGAGCAGGCCACACTGTTAACGCGATGTCCCTTCTCGCCGCATAAGTAGCATTTCACTTCATTGGTGCAGACTTTTGCAACGTGCTGGTCGTCTAAACATTTGCGGCACTTCGGTTCTACTTTACCTTACACTGATATGCAGCGTGGCTGAAGAGTTACTTGTAGCATCTCGCTGGAGAGACTTTTTCAGTTATTCTACACCTGCTCCATCCAATTTTAATCCACCGCGGGATACGTCCAAGCCCTTCCTGGAGTACCATCAGGGCAGTGCAAGCGCCCCCCCCCACTTTTAGGTGCTCTTGGCACAAGTAGCAGACCTGCAACATTTTACTGCTGCAGAACCTCTTCGACAGCTGGACGGACCTTCCTTATCTATGACTATTTCAGGGCCACGTACTATTATTGCAACAGTCCCTTTTTGTGCCTTGGCCATATTTCCGGCGACTAAAATACCCTCAACTTGCGCCAAAAGATTTTTTTAGGAGCACCTTTTTTTTCTACCACCTTCAACTTAATTTCGCCTTTTTTAGCTGTCTCACATTAAACACCTACACCTATTACTTGTAAATTTATTTTTTGCCTCAGTCTCCTAAGCGTATTAGCGTAGTAGTTTTCAAGTGTCCGGTTGGATTGCGTTGGTTGTCACTTTGCTGGTGGTTTGCTTTCGTTTTTTTTTCATGACAGAACGGAAATTTTGGGTATCAGGAAATGTTGCGAAGAACACAGCAAAAGTAAATATTTTTCGTTTATTGTACATACTGATAGCCTTCCACCATTATAAATTCATGTTGAAGCTTTTTTATAAATAAATACCCCGCTTCTTTTTGGACACACATTCTCCTTTTCTAATGAAAATGTGATCAAAAATATCTGCAGCCGCTGGCATGGTTTGCTGATCACGGAACGCTAAATTTGGGCGACAGTTATTTTTTTTTGATGGTGTCGTTAGGTTATTGCTTCTTAATGATAAGTTCAAATTGGCGTCATGATAGGGCTCGAGAATCTGCCGCGATTTTGATAAACACGTTAATTCTTCATCATTTTGCGTTCATAAAAGTTTGTGGTATGGACAGCAGAATACCAGAAAGGTAAATGGTGATCCATTTGTTGGTTAATTTTTAAATCGATAGTTAAAATGAAAACCCAGATTTCTTTTCCCGAACTGGTTTTTCTATTTGAGAGTAATATCCTTCCGGTTTAAATATAATCTCATTAATATGCGCGCTATGGCTGAGCTTGACGTAGCCGTTTCTGTTGACTTTATTTTTCAGTACATTTTCCAAAGTCTGCGGCATTATTTCAACAATGGCTGCATGAATGTTGGTCTTTAAGTGCTCAATTATCGCTGGGGCATCTGCATAGCATTCAGCTTTTACGCTTCCCCACAAAAAATTATTCAACGGAGTTAAATCGCTGGTTCGCGGTGGCCAAGTCACATCACCAAAACGCAATTTTCGAACTGTTCT